CGTGCAGGGAAGGGGACCGAACCCGCGAGGGTGAGAATGACGCGAAATGAAAGAGCGGCCCTGCGGGACAAGGCGGCTTAGATTGGCCTTTAATTGAGGTGGACGGAGCCAGGGATGAGCCATTAGCTCTGCGCTTTGTGATGATAGGGGAGCGAGGACAGGGCAGACTGCGACCGCGGCGGATGGTTCGAGCGCACGCGCTGGGAGCTTTTTCCAGGGGAGCGGAGGACCTCCATGGCCGCGCGTGTCGGGAGGGGAGAGCCGCCACGTCCAACATGGAAAGCCCCAGGCCAAGGCCCTGTCATCAGAAATTCAGACGAAGGCCCGATCAGGGATGGAGCGTTGCGTCGCGGTGCGGCCAACCGAGGCAGGAGACTGGGGTGTGAGAGGTGGGGTGGTGATCTACGGCCTGTTACGAAGGCCCCCGGAACGGCTCGGGTCCTGACTCCCGGGGGCGACGCGGGCTACGGAACGGGTGGATGTGGCCTCCACTGCACAGACTACAAACGTCCAGGTAAGCGCACGATGGAAAACTGACAACACGCTAGCGGTTGAACAAGCGGGGCTACACGGGGTTTTGATGACTGTACCTCCTCTTTGGGTGAATGAAGGCGCGCTGGGGGCCTAGGAGCCTGACCAGCGGGCACTCGGTGTCCGAACGGAACGCGGGGCATGAGGGAGAGCTGTTTGCCCGGCGGCGCCGCCACCGGAGGAGCAGGAGACCGCCGGAGGCACCGCCAACAGACACAGCTAGAACCTCAGTATCCAGACGCCAGTCTACTATGGACATTCCCCTGGGTGACGAGGGCCGCGGCCTTGTCAGCGATGCCGATGGTAGCGGTAGAAAACGCTACGCCGTTGAGGTAGCGAGAGGGCCAAGGTCCCCCATCATGCCAGATAGGCGTTCAGCTCGGAGACTGCGCTTGGGTATAGTATACGGTGCCCAAAGAATACACCGAAGGCCACGAGAAATCCCCGATGGACAACTCCCGCGACAGGCGTGGGCTCAGCAGCTTTGACGACCGCGGGTGATCAGGGACGGAGGCCGTCTCACTGCTGTCACACTCGGGGGAGGGGAGGAGAGGGAAACAAAGTTTGATGTAGCGTCCTAGCGCAGAATCTTAGTCCGCAGGCGAGGGGGAGACGTTGGAATAGGCAGTTTATGATAAAGGCCACCGACGCAGCAGTAGCCACGGCAGTGGAGAAGGGATGAAGGCGATATCGGGGGAGCCCTCAGCGGCAGGAGCAGCCACCGGAGCCACGCAGGGGGTGGTGAGGTTGGGACTCACAGACGCGGGAGCCGGCCGGGACACCGCGGCACCTAGCGCTGGAGAGACGAAAACCGCCGACTGGAGGCGTACGTTCGCGCGCCAGAGGAAGTACGATCCTGGGCCGCGAGCTGCCACGTGGGCCTGCGAAGGATCTGCAGCGGAAAAGGATTCCGGCTGGGGGACGGGGTGGGCAAACCGGGGAAGCAGGGGAGGGCGGCTGGGAAACGAGCGACGAGGCAAGGCGCTTGGGCGGGCTACGGGGCACCCCCACCAGGCGACGAAGCCGGGGGACGCAGAGCATGGCCGTCGAGCGCAGAGGAGGGGGGGGCAGGCGGCTCGTTGGCTGCAGGTGCCTGGCCTTGCGACGGGCGCTTGCGAGGAGGGGAGTCCGGAGCCGGGGGAGGGGGGGGGGGCAGGGGGGGGGGGCGGGGAGCACTCTTCAGGTGACGGTCGGGCCTACAGGCAGTAGGGCGGAACGAAAAATCGTTTCAGGGAGCTAGGCGTCGAGCCCGAAACCAGACGGGGAGCGCTACGGCACGGGGCGAAGACTGCCATGGTGGATAGCTTGCACGTTTCAGCTTGACCTACATTGCAAACTTAGAAGGCCGGGAAGTGGGCGTGCTGCCGGCTTTAACTTGACTGGTCCTGGTGGTTAATTGGTAGACTGGAGTGGGCGTTTGCTGGTGTGATGAGTCGGAGGAAGAGCAGCTGTGGCATTGGGCAGCAGCAGCGGTCTTACCAAAGTAACTAATCCACAAAGCACCATTTTTTCATTCCGTGTATGTGAATTTTGTCCTCTGCATTTGACCATATGATGCACTTGGGTTCTGTCAAGGAGCCTGGTCCACCGTTGAGTACAGCCGCCGGGGACCCAGTGCTCGGTTTCGGTCAAGAATGGAGCTGGAGGATTTATCTTGTTGCATGTTTTTAGAGTAGAGAGAAATTGGAGCACAGGAGGAGAGCTCTTACGCCCAAACACCGCCCAAACAGAACATTCAAACTCCACTCAGAACGGCCCAGTTCCAGCTGGCATTCAAACCCAGGACCTTCTTGGCTTAGAAGCGGGAGTGACTAACACTCAGTTCACTGTGGCCGCCGATAATTAGGACCTAGATAAGTAGATTATCAAAGTATTTTACAACAGCTACATTCTCATCCTCTGAATCTCATAAAGTTTTACATAACCCAGATTACAACATAACTACCCTTCTACCACAGTGCACAATACTAGATACTTTCCCAACAATCTCTATATAAAATCATGGGATTTTCATTTCCAAATGCGCTCTATTATTCTTCTCTGACCCTCAGTCCACTTTCATCCAGGCCTGTTCCCTTGATTCTTCATCAGTGTTTTCTGAGCAAACTGTCAGGAAAATCTCCTCACGTCTCACTGAGCGGCACTCCTTCAGAGCAGTGGCCCAGGCGCTCAAACCTGGTGTGCTCCCAATTCTCCTTTTTAGAAATCTGAGTTCTCATAATGGCCAAGGTCCAAGTAACAGGAGCAGCGAGCAAAGGTTATCTAAAATGACCTATTGGTGATTTGACTGTGCGACTAAAATCTTATTCTCAATGTTCTTTTTAAGTGAATTGTATTGAAAGAGCTGATGTTCAAATTATATTCATTAACATATCTCTTGCAAAATAGTTATGCCAGATGAAACAAAAGGGGTTTTCATACTCAAGCGAGGAAATGAAGTGAGAGGACTCAAAGACGCGGAAACGAAAAATAAAAAATTGATGATTGTAGTGTTCGTCGATACAACACCTCAGCTAAAACCACTGAACGACAGAAAAAAAATAACCCACGGGGGTCCACCAGGGGACGTTTAGTTGTTTTTAATTTCCTCTCCAGCTGGTTGGGTGAATAACATGTAAAGTATACCAAAATGCTCTCATAAAACTGATGCCGAGAGGGACATCACAAAACAAATGTGCAAACAGTCCATGTCCCCACAATAGGTACCTCCGAATTATAAACTCAAAACTATGGCTAATAAACTCACACAAATATAAGTACTAAGACTGAATTTACCACAATTAAACTCAAACTTTCGGGCATTGCCTTGTAAGTGCTTTCAATGCAGATGCCACTCGACAGATTTGCGAATGACACCATGCTGATACTACGGAATGCAACAGGAGATTCTGACTTACCCGGAAACCCCAAAAAACCGGAAGTCAAGCGGCAAAACCGGATAAAGTCCAGTTCCCATAAATCGCTAAATTTTTTAATCCAAAACCTTCCAAATATACATGAAATTTTATGCAAATTAACCATTACAAACATATATACTCGGAACCGTTTTTAGCTTTTTAAACATCTTAATTAACTATAAAATGTATTTACTTATTTATTAAAGATAAACAATTGCCTTGCCAACACATTGGATTTGAATGTTGTAACATAAAAGCGACTCAGAAATCTCAAAGGGGTCGCTAGATTTAGCGACTTTTCAGACCCCTATAGCATCAACGACAGTTTTTTTCAAAAAAGCGACTATAGCGACAAATCTAGCGACTTTTTCTGGTGTTATTGGCGACTTATCTGGTGTTTTGGCGACTTATCTGGTGTTTTGGAGACTCGTGAAGCACGTATTGTTCTGCTGTCCTCAAGTGAGCCCCTCCCCCGTCCCAAAGCACTTACAGGCGGCCAGTCTCACAGTAGCCTTGCGCAGCAGTCCCAGCTACAGTCTATGGGCGGAGCAGAGAGAGAGAGAGGAGACTCAAAAGCACAGAAGTTTTCAGGCTGCTGCAGACTGAACTTCAGCTCCACCACCACCAACACATCCAAAGCTCACCCGGCCACTCCTACCACCGCCACCCCCCCCTACACCCCCCACTCCATCCGCGGCAGCTCTGTCCGTGACTCTGTTTTCTCTCAGTAGTGGGTCACATTAAATCATTTGTTATGCCAAACTATGAAACAAAAAAAAAAACTTACAAAAATAAACCTAAGTAACTCAGCCAGGTGTGTCTTTTGGGTCACTTTGCCGGTCCCCAAGCCCGGATAAAGGAGGAGGGTTGGTTTTGTAGAGCTAGCAATTTCACCCTACATAACAATCTTTTGATTACATTTGCTGTTATAACATTTAACAATACAGGACAAAACTGACAAGAAATATCAATTATAAACAGTCAAGCAATGTCTGATTGCGCGGAACATAAGTAAAACTGTGTCACAGGTGTGCGTTTGAGAGGTGCATGTAACCAATAAAAACAGAAATGAAAACATATGAATAGGACATTAATTAAATACTTTGTATAAAACAATGGGCCCAGGAAATATTAAAAGGCTATTAAAACCAGCTAAAAACAGTCAGGACCGTTCATGCCTGGTGTGCTGGTTGAGTGACCCTCTATTTCATTGAGGACGTCTGTAGGCTCTCAGCCGGATGTAGTTGAACGTCGCAGACGACGTACGGCTGCATCCGGCTGCTAAAGCTAGCGAAAAAGGCGCCCTTATAGGTTAATTTTCCAGTTTGGCATTAGGCTACTGATCCCATACAAAACGTATCAGATGGAGCCAAAGCTGATACATGGAGACCGTGGGGGGCACATCCTGGCCATTAACGTTATCATCGACAGCGGGCAACAGGGGAAGCCATTCACTGGCGCTGCTGGCGCAAAACCTGCCGAGCCCGTGTGCGAACGAATATTTTTAACCCGGAGGATCCTGCCATCCACATCATCTTCTGGGAAGATCACGGACATGGCCCGGTTGATCACATGATTGAGAGGGCCACCTTTAGGGAGAAGATGCGCTCATCAATCGATGACCAGCCAACCACCCCTGTCCGGAGAGTATATGATGCTGCGGTATCATCGGTCAGCCGCCAAGGAGGAGGTGACCGCCCTCCGCGCATCGAGGCCTTTTCGTCCTTCAGGACAATTCTCAACAGGGCAAGATCAAAGAGAATGCCAGAGATACCCAGAGGAGTGGAAGAGGTGGAGATCCAGGGGCCGTGGGCAGAAACCTGGCAACAGGAGGATATCTGCTCCACAAAGATAATGACTGGGAGATTGCTATATTTGCAACAAAAGAAAATCTGCGTGCCCTTTCCCAGTGTCGGAAAATATACATGGACGGAACTTTTAAAAGCTGCCCAGGACCATATTCTCAGATTTTCACCATCCTTGGTCAATACAGGGGCTGGGTGATTCCCTTGGTCACTTGCATGATGGGTCACCGCCAAGTCGGGCACTACAGGGCTGTTTTAAAGGCTATTGCGCTGCATGTGCGCCAAATCTCCCACCGCAGGTGGCGCCCACAGAAAGTTGTGTGCGACTTTGAGATGGCACTTATTACAGCTCTTCAGTCGGAGCTGCCACAGGTGAGCATCCAGGGGTGCTATTTTCATTTCACCCAGAGCCTTTGGAGAAGGGTCCAAGAACTTGGACTTGTGAGGGCTTACAGGGAAAACCTCCGTCTTCGGAAATGCATCCGCAAGCTGATGGCTCTGGGATATCTGCCACGCCCGCTGGTGAGGCTAAACTTCAACTCTCTCCGAAGAAGCCAACGAACAATCCGGCTGATTGACAGAAATCCATCTTTGCTGGATTTTTTTGGTTACGTCCAAAACACCTACATCGGTGGGTTCTTCCCCGTTCCTCTGTGGAACGTCTTTGACCGAGAGATGGATACCCGGACAAACAACCACGTCGAAAGTAAGTCGTATGACACAGCCTAAACGAGCCAACAGGCCTGAATACATGACAATTTTGCCACAATAATTGCGTGTAGCGAGCGCTTATGGAGGACCGTGGCTGCCAAAACAATATATACAGAAATAAATGAATAAATAAATAGATTTTAAAAAGATAAAACTTGCAAATAAATGCACGCAATTATGAGAATAAGTGCATTTATTTCTGCATTTATACATTTATTTCTCTATTTATTTATTTCTCTATTCATTTATTTCTCTATTTATTTATTTATTTTTGCATTTATTTATTTCTCTATTTATTTCTCTATTCATTTATTTCTCTATTTATTTATTTATTTTTGCATTTATTTATTTATTCCTCTATTTATTTATTTATTTCTGTATTTATTTATTGTTTTGGCAGCCACGGTCCTCCGTAAGCGCTGTCGCATTTATCTCGACTGTGAAGCACGTTGGAGAAGCAGACCTGCTTCTAAAACTTGCACAGCACAATAATGCACTTTATTTTCAAATGTTTGTAACCCTATAGAATTAAGAATTCTTAGAATTAATAAAATTCTATAGGGGTGTAATCCTTACAGAAACCGCGGGGTCCGTGCAGAATAAAAAATCAAAATCAGACCATTGTCCTCAAAAGGAGTAGAATGTTTATATTGAAATAATAATTTAGTGTTGCCCTCAAAACCAATAGCATATTCAGTCTTTTTGTTTATCTTTAATTCCAAATAAGGCTAGGCTACCCTATTTTATTGTAATTTTCGCAATAGGTAGTTTTTAATGTCTCGCCCTTGCGCAATGCGTATAGCATACAACAATCGGCATTACAAGACAAAACCCCAATCAATTCTGACAAAAATCCACAGCTGCATGTGTCCGTCTCACCTTTTAATTACTGTTGTTAGGTTATCACAAAACTTTAAATGACACCATCGGAGTCCGGCACCCATCTCTCTGGACTTTTATCCGATGTCTGAAGGACCGCCAAACCGTCGTGGAGCAAACTATTGATGGCGCGGAACGTGGAGAATTGGCCCCTGCACGACGTCGCAAATGGAGGGTTTTGGAGGAAAGGCTGCGATGATTGAAGCAGCAGTATGTTGAGGGTGAGCGGGACTTAAAGTCCTATTGGAAGGCAGCAAGTGATTGCATTGGTTTTGATTGAATTTGATTATTTACATGTTGCACTTTTTGTTGAAAGTTTGTTGAAAGCACTTATGTTATATTACTGATGTTGTTTGTTCAGAATAAAACTTGATTAGTCAACAAAACAGTCTTTTGAAATTCAATGTTTTGTTTTCCAGTGGGCTCTTTTTTCTGTCTTCCTTTTTGTGTGCCAACTCGCTTGTGCCATAAGCCCCGATCTCTTTTCCTTTGCTGCGCTTCCTCAGTGTTCTCATTTAATATATGGATCGTTATGTCAAAAAACAGCGGCGCAAATACAGTTCAACCTCATTCAGTCTCAGAGGCCTCAGTGGCGTCTCTAGGAGCGTCTGCACTCCAGGGAGAGGAGTGAGGACACAATGCGTTGCCTTATTCGTAAAAAGACCCCTATTTTAATGTGCATAAGGCTGGAGTGCAGCCTTCAGAAAAAAACTTGCTGAGTTTGGAGCGGCTATGAAACGAGCACAGTCCAGCTACAACAAGAGCGGGTTGCGAGGATGAACGGAGAGAGATATATTTCCAAAAAGAAAAGGTGGTGGAGCTAATTTAACTTTTCTTATCTGCAACACGTTCTTATTCTGAGGTGGTAGGTTGGAAAAATGTAGTTGGCTACTACAATGCGAGATCTACAAGGCTTATCGGGCGCATGAAGACGCGCAGCAATAACATGTCTATGAGCGAGGCCCGCAGTCGGGGAACACCGGGCCCTCCGGCGTTTGGAAGGTCCGATGTTCCCGGGGTCCGGTGTTCCCCGGGGCGGGAACCCGGGGAACACCGGACCCGGGGAACATCGGGCCGACCCCGCTTTCAGTGTTATAGCTAGGTTACAACTGAGCTATTCTATGCTAATATTTCACTCCCAGAGTTTGTTGTTAATATACTTACGAGTAGACCTGACGGAGATGAACATGCTGCTGCCATCACCAAGACGATGCGCGTTCATGTGGTGTGACGAGGGGGCGGGGGCGGGGCTACTAACTCGCTCAGGCAGAAGAAACTGCCGGAAACGACCAAATCGCTTACTGCTGCTTTAATTCAGGCCCAGGATACATTTATCTTTTTTTTTTGTTTAGCGAAAATATAGACATTCAATACAGCTTCAGACGTACAGACAAATAAAACAACTCAAACAAGACGGACAACAGAGTGGATATTGTAGTGCGTATCTTAAAAATATGATGCATCCACCCATCACCCTCATTGCTCCTATTGTTCCCTCCTTTTTAATCTAAAATGGAGCTATGGGAGGCTGTCTACTTGGGTCTACTTTGCTGTTCCAAGGACAGATTCAGATTCAGATTAATTTATTTGCCATTTGCAGTAAAACCACATTGGAAAAACTGTGCAAGATTACCCCAGTGTGCACCAGACGACACACACCAGAGCTCTTGCCACATGGACGTCTCCCATGTGTCCTGTGAAAAGACTCATCTATCCTTAATGTAATACATATTCCAGGGTTAGGGTTATTTTTTTTCAGCTTTCCACTTTTGTCAGAGATATTTTCAAAAGTCTGCCAACACATTTATTTTGCAAGTCTCTTTTACAGGACCCCGAGCCAAACAGTATGTGACAAATGCCTTGCTGTTTCAATACTTTTTACCGTTACTATAATTTCCTTTTTATGTTCATCCAGTGTGACACTATTTCCGCTTATATTTACTTTTTAATATAGCATCAAAAAACAAATCAAACACCATATATTCTAGAACAAACAGTTTTTTGCTATTTTACCCAAACATATGAATAATATGTCACTCCTTACCTTTCTACAACTCCACTGAAATCCCTTTTCCACCACCACAAGAAATCCATCCACCGTCTCTCCACTAGATCTAATTTTTCCTTCTCGATAACTTCTCTCATATCGAATGCCCGTGACTGGTCTCCGACCCGTCCTTGCTCTGTTCACAAATAGCCACATGTTTGGTGTATTGTGATGAATGGAGCAGTGGGTTTTCGGTCGCGTCTCTCAGTCTGTCTCGGGTCTGGATCCGGTTTCGCTGTGAGATGTCGGGACCATGAGTTCACGCTTTAGTGCTTTGAGTCAATGGATCTCGCTTTGACTCGTTCTGCAAACATCTATTCCAATGCTGATTGTTATTAAGCAGCTGAATAGGAATAATAATATATATATCGTTTCAATGTGGTTTTTATGGAGTTTTCAGCATTTTATATGCAGTGATACAGAAATAACTAAAGCTCTGCTGGACAGGACAATTATTTTTTTAAATAATTGAATATATAAAAAAACAAAACATATACTATACTTAAAAGTATACAGAAATGCCTGCTGAAAACATTCTCTAATTTAAAGCTGGGATACCTTATTTTCAAACCACAAAAAAATTCACCGGACAAGTACCTCGCTCTCAAAACACATTTTGGTCACATGCATTGATGGGCCTTTGTCACGTCTTCAGCTCAAAAACACTCTCTCTGCACAAAACATCCAAAGAACAAAACACCCAATGATGCACAATGTTTTCCAATAATATAAAAACATGTTGTGGTTTGGTAAAACTCTTGTTGGGATAAACAAAAATAGTATAGTATTGGTGAAAACTAAAGTTGTGTGTGTATATGTGACTATGTCCTGATAAACTTATCTTCACTGCATGCAAGCATTATCTGAAGAGGAGGAGGAGATAAGTTTAGTAAATAAGTAATGTTTATTTATATAGCACATATTACAGACCAATGTCACCCAAAGCACTTTACAATGTTCAAAGTTCAGATATTAATTCAATCATTCCACACACGGTGATGACGGAAGTGAGTCGCCGAACACAACAGCCCCCAATCAACACCATCCATTCACTCTCTCATTTACATTCATACCTACTGTGCATGTTTTTAGTGGTAGGGGAAACTGGAGCACCCGGAGAAAAAAATACACAGACACAGGGAGAACATGCAAACTCCACTCAGAAAGGCTCTGTTCCGACCAGGATTCGAACCCAGGACCTTCTTGCTGAGAAGCGAGAGTGCTATCCACTCAGCCACCGTGCAGTTTAATAAATAAATTAGACAAAAAAATAGTTTTAAATGAAGCAATTCCCAAAATCAACGTCTCATCAACTTTATTTCACCTTGGAGAGACCCATAAAGAAAATGCCGTTAGAGTTATTAGATTTAAGCATGTTTATTAGATTGAGCATGTTTGGCGCCCTAGGCCCGGGAGGGATGCTGTTGAGCACGGCGCTTGCTCGTGTGCATAATCCCCAAAAAAGCGGGCCTGCGATTGGGATAGCAGGACGCGCTGCGCAGGCCTGAGAGCATGAGTGAGAGGCTTCTCGCACGGTCGCTCAGCCAGGCTGTGTCCGCTGGGGCCCGTGTTTGTTTAGGCAGAGCGAGCTGAGAATATGAGCGCATGCTCATATTCAGCCAGACGCTGCAGCAGGGGAATCTTTGAGCGAGCTGAGAATATGAGCGCATGCTCATATTCAGCCAGACGCTGCAGCAGCGGAGAGCGTTTGAGGAAAGTGCGTGCCGCCACCAGAATCTTATTGCTTACTTACTTTTGCTTTGCGTTGCTTTGCTGGGAGCTTACGAGGAAGCCGGTAAACGTTGAGCGGCCATGATAGCGGTCGCATCTGGCCTGATGTAGGCGGAGAAAGCCGAAGAGGACCAGCGCCCCAGCAGCTGTTGCAGAGAAAAGTGGGGGAGCCCCAGCGAGGCTGCGCGCGTGGCAGCGCCTATCCTGAAGGAGTGAGCTGTATAGAGCTGGGGAGACAAATTACAGAGGAGCAGTAGGGATCTTAGCTGAGCTCTGAACCAGGTTGCTGTCATGGGAAGGTTGTCTGGAGTGAGAATTAGAGGTCCGTTAGAATCTCCTTTTTTGCAGCGGAGGCGAGTGTAACGCATCATGGACTTGTAGGGGCAGAGAGATGTGTCGGAGCGAGCTATTATTATGTTGCAGGCGCCTTGGTCTTTGAATGTTTGAGATGAAGGTTGAAGTGGTCATATTTTTACAGTTTACATTTTTACTTCCTTATTGTGTTATATTGTTGTGTTTTTGTTGTGTTGTATTATTGTACTGTGTACAGCACTTTGGGGCAGTGATGGCTGTTTTGTAAATGTGCTTTATAAATAAATTTGACCTTGACCTTGACCTAGTAGGACAGATCGGAAAAAGCAATGTCTAGGGCCGCATTAAAAGTCGCATGAGCAGTGGTGAACTCGCTTATGCGGAGAAAGCCATAGAAGGCGAGCAGGAACGCGCTGCGAAGGAGGGCAGACGTGTAAAGAGAGCCAGAGTTCAGTGTGGCGTGTAAAGAGAGCCAGAGTTCAGTGTGGCGTGTAAAGAGAGCCAGAGTTCAGTGTGGCGCAGAGCTGTTCCAGGATAGGCAGCGTGGGGAGCCTGTGATCAGAAGAGTGGGGAGTACAATTGTGAATGCCTTTGATGAGGAGTTTGATGGAGGGTTTGGAGAATAGAGAGGAGAAGGCGGGGTTATGACAGCGGGCCTGAAACTGAATGCCAGAGAGCAGCGTACGGATGCAAGTTATTTTGTAATGGAGATTGTCCGAGCAGTGGACTATAAAAGCCATGACAGTAGATACAGATGGAGGTAACGAAGAAATGTTGTGAGCGTGGCAGAAGAGGGAATAGGCTCTCCAAGCGGAGCTGTATGTAGACAGAGTAGAGGGGGAGAGGCCTTTTTTCATGTAGGATGAAGCAGAGGAGAGGAGGTGAGAGAGGGAAGGTGAGACTAGTCCAGGATTAGTTGATCCATGGTAGGGATTGCACGTGGCTCCGTGCAGGCTGAGGGGCAGAGGCGCCGGAACTCCTGAAATTTAAAATGAGAAAGACAGTCAGCGATATGATTAAGGTGACCGGGAACGTGGCGTGCAGTGATAATGAAATTGTTTAAAACGGAGAGCCAAGTGATGCGTCTGAGAAAGGACATTATGTTGGGT